CCCCGAGCGTGTCTGCAGGCCCGGGCTGGGGCAGGCGTGGGGCAGGTGTCACCCGGGCGGCCCCGGGGCGCTGCCGCTGCGCAGCTGGACTCGCGGAAGCAGCTCTGTGCCCATCGCTGCTCATCCTGACCTTGTGCCACTGCCAGGACCCGGGGCTGCTACGGACCCAACCCGCCTTGCAGACTAATGCAATTCTTTTTGGGCCAAGGATGAGTACGTTCATAACTGGCCTGCACATCTCGAATTGTGGCTTGCATTATCTAGTAATGATGGCAGCGGACTGAAAGACGGGGCTCAAGGGCTTTCCAGCTTATTCTGCTGCGCAGGCTCTGAGATACTTCAGGAGTGTTGCTGAGTGACATTCTTCCTCAGTGACAGTTAACAGGGTTTCAAATGTGGTACCCTCGAATTCACATCCATCTTACTCCAGTGATGGCGGTGGCACAACTCCTTTGCTGTCAGTGGAGTTATAACAGCATAAAGTTGGAATAACCCAGTGGAGACTTTGGTCTTTAATGTCTTCTGCCATTCCTGGCAGAATGTGAAAGCTCAGCTTACAGTATTTTAGCCTACTACAGCTTTAGAGGCTATTCTAATATAAAAAACAGTCTTTCTTCAGAGTGGCCTGTATTGCTCAGTGTATTCCAAGTACAGGAAAATGTCATGCATATTTATACACAAAATTGCCAGCCCTTCTGGTTTACCTGTCAAAGTAATACCAGCCCTGCCTTTCAGCTGAATGCTGGAGAAAGAGGAATTCCTGACTGGCACTACTTTGATCAATACTGGGAAAAGTAATTTCCCTAAAAAAATAAGTACATCTTCAGTTTACCGGTATTTTTAGGAATATCGTGTCATCAGTCTAATCTGGGAAATCACCGTATTTCACAATGAGAGAGTAACATTTCCATCAGTAACAGCTTTTTCAGCTCTCAGTGAGGTGGATCACTGTGTTTCTTGCCAACTGCATGGAGACACCAAAGAAACATTCTGTGACAGTTCCCATAAACCAGAGATAGATATAGGCAGAGATCCGGATACAGATTTCATTCCAGATCTTTGGTGGTTTGAACTGGCTGTGGTTGTTGGAATTAATTTACAAGCATGTTTGTATTTTTGAACTTCACATAAATTATTTACTCTACAAAACCAGTGTTTCTTCTGTATTGTGAATTTTTATTCACTCAGGACTGTTGATCTGCCTTTCACACTGGCAACAGATTAACCACAGTCAGTTTTAGCACTTAGTTACTGTGGTACAGCATAAATTGTACCATGAGCTCACCTCATATTTATTATGGGAAGAGACTTAAGTAGGATCTGTCTGATATCCTTCAGTCTCTGAAGAAATATTTTTTTCAAAACTTGTGCTGTAAGTAATCTCCTGGAAACCTGAAGAAAAAAAAAATTATTTACAAAGGCTGTTTTCTGGTTCTTAAGCTTCTCAACAAAATGAAGGAAAACACACCTCTATTTATAAATATCACCTTACAGCAATTTTTAAATGTCACTGTAACACCATTTATTTTTGCAATAAAGTCCCTTTTGTTGTATTAGAATAAAATCCTATAAACACATACTCTAAATGTGAGCAAATTCTGAACTACAGAACACTGACTTAAGCTTTAAACCACTGTTTACTGTTGGCTAATGAATGCTTGCTTCTCCCAACAGTTTTGAAAGTATGAACCAAGGAAGGCTAGGGTACAAAAATGCCTGATCAACAGTATAAAAAGACAGGTTACAACATTTATAATCTAGGGAATCCCCTTAGTAGGTAAGCACAGTATGATCTGGGAAAGTAATTAAATATCTCTAATGTGCTTAGTCAACAAATAAAAAGGTAAGAGTTTTGCTTTAAGAGTTACTTTAAAAAGTTACAAACTTCTAACTTGTTCAGCCATATAGTTTCTGGGCTCAGGTGTGACTTGTGAATCTCAGACAAGCAAATCATCCGCACTAGGAAATTTGGCCATCCATTTAAAAATAATTAACTCAAAATAGAAATGCCCAAATCTACAAACAGTATTAAAAATTCTTGGCTCCTACATGTGAAATCTGTTTGCCCCGACCGCCAAGAGGTAATTGCACGCTGCAAACTGTGTACTTACCTACTTGTGGAAGGTTTGTCCTTCTCACACCCTACGTTTTGGGGGGGTGCATTAGAACAAACACTGTAGTCAAAAAGATCTTTTTATGCAAGTGGCTTCAGAACAAGGTTTAAAAGTACAAGTTTAAATCCTCATGTCTCTGCTACCTATTTCAGCACAACTTGTTAAGCGACAGACAGTGGAGCATTTGGGCCCCTTATAAGAGCTACTGATGGGTAGCTACCAATGTGTCTTTAAGAAAGTTTTCCATGCTTAAACGTGTCTTCCATTATGTTGCAGGAGGCCAGATGTGCCTATATCATCATCATCATGGCGGTGTACTGGTGCACTGAAGTCATCCCACTGGCTGTTACTTCCCTCATGCCTGTGGTATTTTTCCCTCTGCTTGGAGTTCAGAGCTCTAAATCAGTAAGAAACTTGCTCAGTCCAGATCTGAGGCAGGGATATCCATTGGTCTGATCCCTGTCCGTGTTTAGCAAACAAGTCTGACAGGAGAGCTCTCTCCTGTGCTGCCGTTGTGGAACGTGCTGAGCAGTGCTCGGAGTTCCTGTAGGGGAGGATGCTGAACTCAGTATGCGTTTGCCCACAATGTTGAGGGTGTCGGCTTGGGGTGGCAGAGGGGAACTGCTGTTTCTGGATGTGGATGCCACCGGTGCCAGCAGCTGGTGTGTTCATAGCCCATCCCATGGGAGACCAGTGCCGACGTGTCCTCTGGGAGATTCCAGAGCACATGGGACAGGCTGCTGACAGGGTAGACACCAGCAAGTACCCCATGTGCCCGCCCAGGCTCCCTCTGGCTGTTTGAAGGGAGAGAGGCCCGTGAATGGGCACTGCAGCGCAGGTTCACTGCTGGCCCGCATGCTGGCAAGGGCATGTGTGGTTGCTAAAGGTGCTGAGGAACCTGTTTTGGAGCTCAGACTTACACAATACTTTGAGCCCCTAACAATGTTTTAGGAACCTGCTATCATTTTGTATTTTACTAACTCCTGGTGATCCAAAAAGAAGGTTCATCATGCACAAAGAGCCCCTGCACTAGACAGTGCAGCACTTACAAGGGCATGAGGGTTCAGGAAACTGGAGACAGCTGGAGACACGCGAGTGCTGGAGTGGGGCCTGGTGCAGTGAGTCGCTCTGAGAGGATGAAGACAAACTACTAGCAAAGCTCTCAAGAGGCTTGAGTTTGGGCCCCTGACCTACCTTCTCTCTTTTTCAGGTGTGCTTGCAGTACCTAAATGACACAACCATGCTCTTTGTTGGAGGGCTGATTGTTGCAATTTCTGTTGAACAGTGGAATCTTCACAAAAGGATTGCGCTGAGGGTCCTACTGATTCTTGGTGTGAAGCCTGCACTGTAAGAGTATTACATTGCTTCTTCCTTGCCTCTGTCAGTTTAGCGGAGGCCTAGGGATGGCGTTTAACAGTCAGTAGAGAAGGGAACCTTAAAGAACCTCTGTACCTGCACTTACAGAGAGTTTCCAGAGGTGGCTAGCCAAAACAGCATCTGGCTAAATCCTAGATGCTTGCCACTGGGGACAGAATGATGACAGATTTAATCATGAGCAGACTAAGGAGCCAAGTGGCTTTCAGGGATTTCTTCAGTGAGGTGACAGAGCTGTCCTAGAAGGGAATGTGGCTCTTCTTTGTATTACTGGACGCTACACGCAGCCCTGTCTGGGCTCTGCTTTCTAAATCGCAGTGAATACGAAGTCTAGTCCTCCTTTCTCCTCTCCTCTGCCTGTTTCTCTTTTTTCAGCCTCATGCTGGGATTTATGATAGTCACTGCCTTCCTGTCCATGTGGATAAGTAACACAGCCACCACTGCCATGATGGTTCCCATTGTCCAGGCTGTCCTGGATCAAATGGACAACACAGAGTATGATGTGACCATGATGGAACAAGCAACTGGGCAAACGAACACAGTGATTGAGCTGGAGGAGAAGAATGCATCAGATCCCTCCTCAGTGCATGGTGAGGGCCTACGCAGCAGTGAGTTGGCTCTGCTGAACCTACTGCACGAGTTCTCTTTTCCACAGAAAGAGGATGGTAACCTGACTGAAAATCCCTAAATGCATGTCATTTTACAAAATGCCATCCAATTTTCGTGGCTGTCACTTTGTTATGCTTAGTGCTAGATCCCATGCAGATTGTTAGGTTCTTTCCTTCAGGCTGGGATCATCCTCCCATCATTTCCCTAGACTTAACTGCCTGCTCAGGGAAGTCAAAAGCATATCCTGTGGGAAATATCATCCAACCCCCCAGCATCCCACTTTCTAAATCTTGAGATTATCAGTGGGGATTCGGCTTCTAAGCCATGTAGGAATGTTTGAAAAATTTTGTGCAAATGCAACCTGTTTTGGTTCTGGGGTAATAAATATCTCTTTATTGATCAGACTGCATGTGGAGGTGGGGAGAAGAAAGAGGAATGCTTTAAAAGCTACGTTGAAAGAGGAGCTGGTGTCTTTTGACTCACAGCAGACAAACCACTCCGTGGAACACTTTAAGGTGTGACCTTATCCCCGTGCTTGACTCCACAAGGTCCTTCTGTCAGTGCTGTGGTTCTGCAGTAGGTTTCACTTGGTTTGAACCATGCGCACAGACTCAGTCCCTCTGATTTCACTGCTCTGCTCTGCTGGCTGACGTGTCCACGGGGACACAGTGTAGCAGAAGGGTGTTTTAGTGTGCCCAATGTTGCTGCTATTTGTTTGGATACACAGTTGAGATACGTGATCTCTGCTTTCCGTCACCTCATTCCTTACCTCTCTTGTGAAGGAGAGTGCACTATGATTGTGCAAAGCTCAGGCACCCTGTTTACATAAGATGTGCAGCCCACAAGGATGCCACTTGGTTACAGAGTGACAACAAACAGTTGTATTAAAGATAAGTTTTCGTATTTGCAAATGCTCTTTTTAATGTTGATGATTCTTGAATCCCAAAACCATTAAGACCAGTAATAATAATTTTGCCCATTTTCTGTCCACTTAGAAGGATCTGCTTGGCTTTGCTGGCTAATTTATTTTAACGTGTAGTGAAGGTAGTAAATGTGTGCAAAAAATACCCTTTGGTATTGTTGAGTTGGTTGTAATTGCCATAAATTAATTGTCCTGCTCCATTAGTCCAGTCAGACTTCAATATTAGACTGTTAACCTCAGAGAACAATGGGCACAGCAGCAAAATTTCACAGTTGAATTAAACTGACATAACGTATTGATCTTAATAGTTATGCCAGGCAAGAATTTGGGTTTTGGTGGGGTCCTTTCTGCCCATATTCACAGCTGTTAGAGCCAGTTGGGCTCTTGCTGTGGTATTGGAATAGTTCCAGTGACTACATACAGTATCTGGCCGGTGGTAAACCTCTCTGTGAAACAGGAAATTACTGCTGAGAAACTGTGGCACCGAGATGGACAACAGCATCCTTGGATCATGTAGACCCAGACTGACAACCTCTCACTTCAGGTCCTCATGAACACAAGTCCAGAGTATTTAGGGACATATCTGTGGTTTTTTTGAATTAAAATACATGGCATACAGAAACAGGAAGCACTGTGCCTGCAGACCCTGTCCTGAACTCTCTGCCTCCTTACCCTTACTTGAGACAAGTGATGTTCTTTGTGTCTAGTCATAAGCAATGGACAAGTCCCTGATGACCCCAGATCTTCTGAGGAAAAGAAAATGAGGAAGCGTGTGTGTAAGGGAATGACACTTTGTGTGTGCTATGCTGCCAGCATTGGAGGAACTGCAACGCTCACTGGGACGGGACCAAACATGGTGTTGAAAGGCCAGATGAATCAGTAAGTCATTCTTGCTGTTTCTCTTACTTACACTACCTTACTGCTTCTGTTACCAGCTGACTAGTCTTAGGTGACAGTTTCAGTTGCAAACTATAAGCAATAACCAGTTAATGAACTGAGAGTGAGGAGTGTGTATGAAGTGATGGGCCTCATTTTTCTGCTTCAGCCTCTTTTAGGCAGCTGTGTGCTGGTATTGTAGGTCTCCTGAGAAACTTGGAAATACTTGCTGGTAATCAGCAGTCAGCTGGTTGATCATGAGACACTGGTTCTTCTGCCTCCTCTTTTTCAGCAGGGGGACTGCAGTGAAGAGCATCAGAAGAATGTCTGATTAACTTCTCATAAGCACACCGAAGAGAGCTAAAAATAGCTTAGCCTTGCCTTGTAATATTCCTCCATGCTGTGGCTGTGGGAACTGTACAGATACTGTTGTAAAGGAAATGAGTTATCCACAAAATACTGTCTTTGCTAAACTGAGTTTGGGAATTGATTTAAATGCAACTTTATCTACAGTGGAAATTTTACAGACTCCCCAAGAGTCCCTCAACATTGCTTTCTTCTGTTGGGAGTACTTCAGCCTCAGCTGCCACCCTGCCTGTCGGTGTTAACACCCAGCTGGAAGTTTGCTATTGGTATTTTTCCTCCAGTCATTATTAGTGGACACAGGGAAGAACAAAAATTGCTGTTCTTAAAACACTGGCTTCATTCTTTTGAGCCAGCTAACAACTTTGTCTTCTACTGAAGTGAGCAGAAGTGCAGCCAGCTATTAATTTCAAGAAAGACAATTCTTCCTCTCTTATTAGAATGAATGGGGAGGAAGAAATTGGGGTAAACGAGCGGGCATGTTGGAAGTGAGAGGCACCTGGAATGTGGAGGAGATCTCTCAGCAGCACTCATCTGACTGAGACCTAAAATCTCAACATGAGCTTCTATATGCATTAAAGCACAGGAGCTGAGGATCATTTAAGTTCTGCTCTGAAATCCTGGGTGCCTTCCTCTTGACTTCAGTTAGGCTATGCATGTTGCCTGTGATTACTTGTAATCACTTTCCTAGGTTTACGTGTGTAATTGTCACTAGCACATATTAAAGGGAGAGTAGGTTACTAAATGTTTGGACATTCATACAGAAAGCATTTTTCGTTTCTTTTCAGGTTATACCCCAACAATAATGATATAGTGAATTTTGCTTCCTGGTTTGGGTTTGCATTCCCAAACATGATTCTGATGTTGGTACTAGCTTGGCTTTGGTTGCAGTGCTCCTTCATGGGACTCAAGTGAGTATTTAACTATGATATTGTGTAAACTCCTGAGCTGCTGCAGATCAGCTTATGAGAAATCTGGATAAAACAAATGCATTGTCAAGTTAGTAATTTTGTTCCATTTCACAGCAACTTTTGAGGCCTGGAAACCTTCCGTGTTCATGCAAGTTGCACTAAGGCAAAAGCTTTATACATTCTTAATGTTCAGGCAAAATTGCCTTTTTATTTTTCAGTTTCATACCTGTGAATTTTAACCCTAGGAGAGCAGGCATATCTGTTTTGCTACCCTTGATTCAAAACGCAGTTTTTCATCCCAGGTTGCTCCAAATTGGACAGAAACTTACAACCATTCATAGACCCCATTCTTCTGTGAGAACTGGCATGTCCCCATGAAATACTGACACTGTTGTCATTTCTTTGTTCCTGGCCTCTGCTGTAGTCTGTGTCTGTCCCCAGGAGTGACAGCTTCAGAGTGGCAAGCATGTTAAATCCTTCTAGTATGTTAATACTTACCACATTTTCTTCTCCCTTTTTCTTAAAGCTTTAAAAAAAGCTGGGGCTGTGGGACAGAGAGAACTGCTAAAGAAAAAGCTGCGTACAACGTGCTGAAGGCAGAAATGAAGAAATTAGGCCCTATCTCTTATGCTGAATTCAATGTCCTCCTCATGTTTGTTTTGCTGGTTCTCTTGTGGTTTTCCAGACACCCAGGCTTTGTAAAAGGCTGGGCTGCCAGGCTCTTCCCAGAAGGAGAAAAGTAAGTTTTTAGGGTTTTTTTCACCCTGTACCCTCTTGGCTGTGGGGTTCTTCCATTCCATTTTGAATGTGGGGTCATTTGTTCCAGCCTTATCTGAATTCATGTGTTTGCTGGGCTTGATCCTATCGCTTGTGTGTGAAAGCACCGTCTGTATCGCAGTGGAGGCTGGAGACTGGAGCTAGCTGAACCTCCTAAAGGAAGAGAAAATGCTGTAATGCTGGTCTCAGTCACACTGATGTACACGTTAGTGTTTTGTTTGTATGAGCTGCAATCAGTTGTGCTGTCATTTGAGTATTTGGCAATGCCACCTCTGAACAGTAGCTTAGAACTTCCTGGGATTTGGTGCTTTGAGCGGCTCTTTGCATGATGTCTGTGGCACGTTAAGAACATAAAATGCGTAATGGGATTCTCATTCAGGCCATTTCTTTACAGGTCTTTCTTTGAGATACAGCTGTTGAATCTTGGCTTCACCACAGAGAAGGAACGCTGCTCCCGGGAGCCCTTGTCATCTGTCACTCGGGTTATTAATGTGTATTGTAGCTAGTTTCTTTTATTACGGTGTCTGTGTTGTGGCAGGTCTGAGAGACCTCAGTCATGAACTAATGACCCATTCTGCTAATGAACAATCCCCAAACAGGATGACAAAGAGCAGTGACTGCAGTGCTGGAAGGCAGCCATCTTCTGGGAGAAAGTTGTCTAAGCTATATCCTCTTTTCTTCTTTAGGTATATCACTGATTCTGCTCCTGCTGTGTTTATTGCCCTGCTACTGTTTATCCTTCCGGCTAATAAACCCAAATTCATAGGCTGGAATCCAAGCATGTCTGACCCTGAACAGACTGAAGAAGGTACTTAAGAGAGGAATTGTAACACTGAAACAGCCAGCTCCAGCTAACACGGCAGAAACATATCCTGGATTTGCATGCAGTTCTCCAGGGTAGCTCACCTCCCTCACCTCCTGGGCAGGGCTGGGCACGGTCCTGCTGACGGGTATTACCCTTTCCCTGTGCAGGTTCCTCAGTAACGTGCATCTGCCTGTTGGGTCTTTCCTTAGTATCTTATAGAACAGGAGACAAAATGTCTTCCCTCTCCTAAAACATGTTCTGCTTTTCATTTCTCACTTCAGATATAAAAAAGCCATTTTTATCAGCCCCGCTGCTAGACTGGAATGTGGTTCAGAGGAAGATGCCCTGGAGCATTGTGCTGCTGCTGGGAGGAGGTTTTGCTTTGGCTGATGCAAGTGCAGTATGTCCTGACATCTGTTTTTCTCTGACTCAAAGGCGAACTTCCCTGGTTTGTTATCTAGTCCTGTATTACTGGGCATGCACCCAAAGCCAAACCCAGTAGAGATGTTCAGGTCTGGAGGCAAATCCAAATTAGCAAAACTTGGGAGGAGAGGTGAATATTTGGGCCTCTTTTTCAGGATCTTGTGGACTCTGACCAAGTTTCTACCATTTATCTTATGTCTTAGAGGCTGCTGAATAGTTTGGGATCTTCACTGACTGGACAGACCAGAAAAGCAGCCTTTCTTATTTCTGTTATCATCCTCATCCCAGCCCTAGCTAGAAAAATAGAAGCATAGATAACGCTTGTAAGATTTTCAGAACCATTTGAGGTTTATTTAAAGGATATATATCTTCAGATTTAAACCAAACCACTACTGAAGTGGTCAGGGAGAAAATCATTGTGGGTAGTTATCTTCCAAAATTGTGTACACTGGGGTTTCTTGAGCTTCTTGCCAGTGGCTGTTGCCAGGCAAAGCTCATGGTCTGATTCCAGGTTCAGAAATTCACAGAAAAAGCAGCTGGATTCCCCAAACAGGAAAGAACCTTGAGGTGAATCATATTGTTTCCTTCATCACTGCTAAGGTGCATCTAAATCAAAACAAGCCTTAGCTATCAACAGTGCCATGCTTTGGGAAATTCACATTCAGATCTAAGTTTTGTGGCTAGGTAGTTTTAAACCACGGGGCAAATTAAAGCTCTAGGGCCTTACATTCATCTACATAGATCACACATCCATTATTAAAGCTCCAGAGCACTAGAAGCCATCAAGCCACAGGTTTTGTAAGCTGCTTTGAGTCAATCACTGCCTATGTTCCTACAATAGAGTGTTCATACGGCATCAGCATCTTCAGAACCTTAGGGAAACGTGCCAGAAACTTCTGAATGGTATTCGCAATCATCTCAGCAATAATTGTCTCTGTTTAGCAAATGCCATAATTTTGTAACTGAATTGTAAGCAAGTATTTGTGTTCTGGAGAAATCAGGAAAGTATGACTCTATTAGTTTTTGTGTTTTGTGACAGATTGTTGTACTTTCCCGGATGGTGTTTATATCGTTCAAGAGTCATTTAGCATTATTTGGCAGCAGTGTTACACATAACATGAGTTCCCTCTTCATGAGCTAGGGGTTCTCAGCCTCACTGAAAAACACTTTTTTTTCCTTATCAGAACTCTGGGCTCTCAGCTTGGCTGGGTCATCAAATGACTCCACTAGGATCTATCCCACCATGGGCCATTGCAACGGTACTTTCACTTATTATCGCAGTCTTCACCGAATGCACCAGCAATGTTGCCACAGCCACCCTCTTCCTCCCTGTCTTCTCATCCATGGTAAGGGTCCTGCCGACCTGCTGTCCTGGCAGCTGGGGAGCAGAATTAAGGCAACAGTCTCCAGAGGCAGAGCAATACTGAGTTTATTGTCTTGAACGTTGCTCCGGTGCTCATCTGAAAGGCAGCAATGAAACCATCCCCTGACAGTGGGCCGTGACGGACAGTGATTTAGGTGGTGTTCGCTGCCAAGTTTATAGTGTCACACGTGGATGGGAAGGGGTAATGCGAACGCTCTCCCATCCGCCCTCCCGATGCCCCGGAGCCGGAGAACCCACCTCCTGAGGGGAGGCGCTGGCTGAGGACGCCTGTCCCACGGCTCCCTCGCTGCAGGGGAAGCCAGTTCAGTCCTGCCAGGTGTGTCCCTTGGCCCTGCAGAAAGTGAACTGGGGCACTTTCTAAATACAGATCAACAAATACCAGTTACTTCTGGTCACTTTGTATCTGAACCACCAACTCGGAACTGGAAAAATGCACACCCAAAAAAACCAAACCAAACCAAAATCCATTAATCCCTTTGAAAGGTTCCTTCATCTTCATGGTTTTAGGCTAGAATACAGAAAGTAGTAGTCCTGATTATTTGAAATGTGTCATTTTCCATCAGAAGCCAGAACAATTAAAAAATTTATCGAGGACAACCTGGTAAGTTTTGCTGCCTTTTCTGAGCAGAAATGAAATTGTAGCAAAAAGGAAAAAACAGGTTACTTTGTTCATTAATTTGGAAAATTCTAGATCATTTCATCAAAGTAAAATTATCTCAATCAAGGGTGCTGAGCTATTAGTGACTTAAATTGGCACTGAAGTTCTGAGTGCCTCAGAGTTTATGTAACGTCTAACAGTGTTACTCCACATACCTAGTCATTATAATCCCATCCCTGTGTTATCCTGGCAGAAGTGTGGTCTGAGGTCAAAGAAAAGATAGTTGGATAAATTTGACCAGAACTCCAAATTATACCATAGAGTAAAGCAAACAACAAGAAGGAATCAACACTGGTTTTAAGTATTGTGGGAAAGGAAAGGAGGCAAAGTCAGCTTTAAGCACGTGTGGATTTCAGAATGAAATGCTTGTGAACTGCTCTGGTGCAATAATACCAGGAAACGAGAGGAGCCCGTGTGCCCCAGTGGACTGAGAAATGTCCTTTATGCTTTTCTTTTGGCACACCTGCAGTGCCACCTTCTCTCTGTTTCATCACAGGCTGCATCTGTCAGGATCCACCCCTTGTATGTTATGCTGCCCGGCACTCTCAGCGCTTCCTTTGCCTTCATGTTACCTGTTGCAACACCGCCGAACGCGATCGTGTTCTCCTACGGCCACATCCGTGTTTTGGATATGGTAAGATGATCCTTTCCTGGTCTCTTATCTGAAGCTCTCCATTGCCTTTATCCTGAAATGTGGTGAGAATTTACTTTTCTTAGCCAAGTGTTTCCAAAGTACCCGGAAGCTCTTACGGGCTGTCACTACCACCTTATGCCCCTCTCGCGTGCAGTGTTAGTGCTGCAGGGAAGGTTTGATCCCTGGAGCAGCAGTCCCATTCCACAGGTGTCTGCAGACATGCAGCCCAGCCCGATTGGACTTACAAACTGAGGAGTTGTAAATCTCTTAATGACTGAAGGGTTAAAATGCGGTCAGTGCTTTCCAGTCTCCTGGGGCTTTGGCGAGTGCAGCCGAAGCCTTGTTTCCCCCACAGCTGAAAGCAGAAGGTAACAATCAGTTGCCCTAGGCTCTTCTCCTCTGATTGCCTGCCAGACCACGCAGCGCCCGGTCCTGTGCCAAAAACCCAAACATCATTGGTTTTCTAACTGCAGCCTTGAAGCAGGCGGGCGGGAGCTGTTCTTTAACTAATGAGCAACTTGTACATGCCTTGAAGCTTCGGGACTAGTCACATACCAAAGTGTTCAAAGGCTTTGCATGGTGTGTTCCCTGGTATTTCCACAGGGCAGTGGGTACAGTGGCTATTTCTGTGATTTATTTGACCACGTTCCTTTCTTGTGCGTATACAAACAGGCCTCGCTGCCCTTCGCTGTGCTGGTGTTTGGTTATTGTTGTTGGTTTGGACTTTTGTCCTCGCAGGTTAGATCTGGAATAGTGATGAACATCATTGGAGTCTTCTGTGTCACACTGGCCATCAACACGTGGGGAAGACCTATGTTTGAGCTGGACACGTTCCCAGCCTGGGCAAACAGCACAGCAAACCAGTGAGCAGCGAAGAATTCACATATTGAACAAGGAAAGGACCCTAAATACTGCTGCCTGTTGCCCGAAGCCCTGTGCAGAGTCACCACCACTTCAGATCCAGTGTCAGGCGTCTCCTGCCGTCTGGGAGTCACACATCAGGCCAGGCATGAACCAACTCAAATTTATTCCAGTCGTGCTGGAAGCAAATGTGCTCTTTAGTTACACAACCCTAAGGATCATTTGTCTGGATCATAAGTGTGACCAGGTGATCCATTGTACCTCCAATCAGGGTCGCGACAGCATTTATCGAACTTTAAATAAAGAGAGGGTGGGCTGTTGTATCAAATGGTTTGAACGATTGTATCACTGGTTTGTACTTGTAAATCATGAGCATTGAGCACTGCACCCGGGCAGCGGCTGAAAACTCATTAACTGTTACTTACGGCCACAACTTAGCAGCAGTGTGGAGAAATCCCTGCTGTCACTTGTCCAGCAAAGGAAGGGGTATGGTACGGTACGTTGTGTTTCAGTTGGGCCTTAACCATGCAGCGGAATCCTTCCAAGTCAACATCCAACACGTTTTCCATTGCCGTGTTCTCACCCCCAAATCTCACTCCATCTAGACACCTTTATTGAGGGTTAGATAACACAGTTCCATGCTGGTCATGATTCAGCTGATGAGTTAAGCCTGGCTTTGAGTTGCCTGTGCTGTGGCAGTGGCAGGGCCAGGGGCCTTTCCGTCTCTCTGCCACGGGATGCCATTTCACCTGCCAACCAGTGTTTTGTTAGTGCCAGACTGGAAATGACCAGTGACCTACAGGACTTCATGGCTGTTGTGAAAAGTCCAGGGTTAGCCCGATAAGCCTTGTTAATTAACTCTGGAATTTCAGAGTGGAAAGAAGGCATGAGAAAGGCTCTGACTGAAGCTCTTATAAAAATTCAGGGACCCAGATATCAGGGGTTGTGCTGTCTGACAGCAATGGGAGTTGTCATGGGTACTTTGGAGTTCAGGTCCTGTGAGAGAAGAGTTTTGTAGCACCTGTTTCTGTGATTTCTGAAGCAGAAGTAGTCTGCAGGAGGATGGTGTTGGACTGGGTGTATTTGGCCAGTGACAGGTGGGTGCTTCAGCCCTGGAGTTTGAGTTGGGTGTGTGACAGTGGAGGGATCTGGGGGCATGGCCCGAGTTTTGCTGCCAGACTTGCTGGGCAGCCTCACACGAGTCAGTTCACCTCTTTTTGCCTCAGCTTCCTTTCCTTTAGAAGGTGGCTTGGTACCGATCTACCTGGCAAGGGTGTTGTGAGGACATAGGGGTCAAATTCTGCACCCACGGTGATTCCCCACCTCATGGTAAAGGGTACAAGGTAGAAGTTACAGCACCAGAGAATTATGGCCAGAGGATTCTACCCTCTAGCATAGTAGTGTGTGTGTAGGATATTTAATAGTTTTGTTACTAATGAGAATGTTCTTTATAGAACTGGAAAAATATTCATATTTTTTGTTTTTAAAAGTGAGGAAAGTATTTATCCACAAGATGACCAGGTGCTTTTCTGAGCAGAAAACTACTTCAGGAATGGTTTGATGTCTGTGCCTTTCTCTCCTGTTCTTCTCCACTGGCCCTTCCCGGGTGCCTGCAGCGGGCGCGTGGTGCAGCCTCACACCTCCCCGGTGGAGCGTGTGGGGAAACTGTTCCACTGCAGACTCTGCCTGAGGGAGAGGCAGCTCTAGTGCCGGCACGTGGCTTAGTCACCAATGTTTGTCACCAAGTGAGTTTACCACTGTTTCTCTGAAGAAATTGAAACCAGGAAGAGTTAAGCACCTTCTGTGCTTCGGCAGTCACCACTTGAGGTGATTTGCACCTGTGGGCCTTTTCCTGCCTTCTGGTGGACGTGGCAGTGCCAGGACGGTTCACGCTGCCGGTCCTTACCGCTGGCCAACGCGGGGACGCCGAGCTCGCCTGCCTCCTTCCCTCATCCTTGGAAGCCGGTTCCAGCTAAAAGCCGCGGGAGGAACGTTCTGAAAGTTCCTTGAAGGGGAGGAAGTACCCTCGTCTCAGCTAGGGAACAACTTCCCTCCATGCTGTGCAAGTGGACAACAAATGTCATTTTCGTCAGTGGTCCGGGGGGTGATTATCGACAGGAGCGCTGGGGCACGTGGGGTAATAAAGAAAACTGTGGGCGACTGGACGTGTCACCTCTCTGTCCTCTTAATAGCAAATGTTTCTTCCTGAGACACGTGTATGACATCCTGTGATTGATTTGTATTTTGTTCAAATGGGCGAGTTGCAGGATTAGAGCCTGGCAAATAAAACATCACAAGCCCTGTCTCCTCTCCGGGATGGATGTCTCCTGTGTAACGCTGAGCGCCGCCTGTTTCTACACCCACTTCCACCCAGCGCGTGTGGCCAGGCGGGCACAGGCTGCAGCGAGCGGCTGCAAGGCAGAGGTCAGACCTGTGTGTCAGCGGTCCCTCCCCTTGCCTCGGCTGAGTGGCGACCCAAGTTCCCCTCTTTGGGAATGCTCACGTGGGACCAAACCAGGCAGCGTACCCTACAAGCCGTCTCATTCATTTTGGAGTAAAAGATTGTAAGAATCCAAGAAGCACAACTAGTTTTCAAGATTTAATCTTGTACAAACTCTCCAGTCTAAAAGGCAGAACAGCTTCAGCATCAGGCACATGTCATCCTGTCCAGTGTCCCCCATAAACACGCTGTCCCTGAGCAGGGGTAATGCAGGGACAGAGGCTGTTGTTGGGGCTGGCTCACATCCCCCCCCAGCACTGCGGGATAAGTACCGTGACAGATACTCGTCTTGTGTGACATTTCTTGTTCTCATCAGAGGGATTTTGGTTTAGTCACAAAAGCCATGATGGTTCTCGGGTAGCGGCACCAAGGAACCCCTTTGTCCCCCACTCCCAAGCAGGCCCCCCTGGAGCCAGCAGCGGGGCTGGGAGGATCTCTGGTGCGGGCTTCTCAGGGCAGGTGCCGGGGCACAGGGAGCCACGAGCAGTTCCTGCTCCGCGCCGCGGGCAGAGCGGCCCCGGGTGCTGGGTGGCTGTCGGCTGTCCCACCGTGGGACAGCGGGCACTGCCGGTGACGAGAGCTGAGTCAGCGCTTTCCCGGTGCCCCTTCACTCTCTGTAGCACGTCCTTGACTTTTCCGTTCCTCTCTCAGAATACCAAGTGGCTAATACTGTTTCTGCAAACATCGAGCTTCTCAAAGCTGCAGAACCACAGCACAGGCATGGCATGTGCTGTCCCCGGGATTTGCTCCTGGTCGTTCGTCTGCCCACCAGCTCCTTCCCACAAAGTCCCGGCTGGGTGGGAACGGACCAGACTAAGGGGCTTCCTGCCTGTGTGTTGAACATCCAGTCTGTGGAGGGGAGAGGCAGCTGACAGCCACTGGGTTTGGGCCACGAAGGCCAAGTTCTGTGGGTGCTAGGCCAGGCTCATACACTGATACGTATCTGGATGTATCATACACCTATCACACACATACCATGGAGTGGCAGGAAGTTGTTCTGTGTTTCATGTGAGTCTAGATTGCTTAAGGGTAAGTGTATAAATTATTCTGGGAAACTGTGAAAAGACTCGTGAAAGTACACGTATTAAAAGGAGGTGGTGTGAGTGGAGAGCAAGAAGCCAGAAACTGGTTTATTGAGGCTTTCTTGGACTCTACTTGAACTTTAAGCAAGTTGCTTAGCTTTTCGGTTTCAGTCTGAAGTGTTGCACTTCATGCTTATCAGTCTGTAAAACTAGTTAGTTACGTCCTGCTAATTCATGCATGAAGAGAAAGATTAAATGATTTGCCTTACTAATGAATAAACTATGTTGCTAAAGTCTGTGAGTTCAATCGAACTGAATGAAATTTGCTGTGACTCTTGGAGTTCTACCTCTGAGTCACGCAGGAATCCCGACTTCTCTTGGAAGCAGTAAGTAAACCTAAAGCTGTGACAGCATGGGAGGGAAGCCTTTGAATATCAACTCTAAAGCCTCAAAACCCAGAAGATAAGTAATAGGAATTCACCATTTCAGTTTCGAATTACCTAGTTTTAAAGGCAGACTTGCAATTTTGAGGGCTTGGCTTGTGATTTTGTGCAGCAGTTTGCAGGGCAAAACAATACTGAGTCCATGCTGATAGAATGTGGCACTTCTTGTCTATTGTGTCTGTTGCTCCCTGCTTGGTTAAATTCCTGTGCCATTTGGTGTACTTGCACATGCATATAAGCCTAAAAAGCAAACTGTATTTATCAACAGACAATTCCTTTATCTTTTTGTAGTAGATTTCCCTCAAATGCTTTGTTATTTAATCTGTGGTTTCACATTCCAGTGTGGTAACTGTGAGCTCAATGTGCTGAAAATAATGCTTTTGCACAGCTGGGTAATTCCTGCAGCTGCTGGTGCTGAAGGAGAACCCGCTTCTTCCAGAGGGAACGTCTAAGGAATGTCTGTGTCCCCTGTGGAACAGAGGTAAGGCAGCCTCGGCGGCACAGGCTAAGAGGAGGGCACACCGTGCTGCTCCGGGGTTAGGGACTGCTTAATAAGACGTTTGGTAGCTCTCTGAAAATAGAGCTGACTATACTGAAACTATTTTTTGCCCATTTGGTTTTTCTGAAGCCCTAAGTCAATAGTTGCCCATTCATTATGGTGGAAACGTGGACTGTAGATTCTGGTTATAAGAAAGAGACTGTTTCTTCTGTAAGAAAAAAGGTGTTACCCTCCCCACGTTTGCTTCAGTACTTTATTTACCCATGTGAAATTACTTGCTACCCTTATTTGGCTCTTCAGTGAGTTTTCATAAACTGTCCCAGGTCAGAATGGGAGCCTCATTACAGTGTTCACAAAACATTATTTTTACAGACAAACCATGTTCCTGAAAGAACTGAATGTCCCAGACACTAAAACTAGGTTGTTGTAGTTTCATCTGTGAACTGTTCTTTGAGAACAATAACATGGGTTGGGTCTTAGCAAATATTTTAGCAAGCCGGTTGAAGATCAAATTTTCCATCAGAAACAAAGTTAACAAAATCTTTCAATTAAAGAATGGTTATTTCTGGAGCAAGTACCTATTTTACTTCAATATCTTGTCCTGGATATACAGTCAGAAATCGGAAACCCGGGGAGGGTGTGTGTGCACATCACTAAGAACAGTTATCCTTCAATTGAGGAAAACAGAATTTCCTCAGAAAAGAGAGGGATTGGGACAGGGATCAGGGAGAAAGGAATGGAGGACACTTTAGCTCCTCTTTCAATAACAAAGCCTGGGGAAAAAAACAACATAAACATTTCCTATGAGCATTGGGGTGATGATTAACCCTCAGCCCAGTTAAGGAATTGGAAAGTATTGTACTGTTCATGAGAAAGCAAAAATAACCAAGGATCAGATGCTGAAACTTTTTTCTCCTTTTCTTTTTGCAATAGTTAAACTGAAGGACTGCAGGATCAGGCACCTCAGAAATTATTTTAGAATTATAGTTTCTCATTTTTCTTAGTTATAGTGTTCTATATAAACCTGTCCATTAAAAAAAAAAGTGGGGTTTTTTGGTTTTGTTTGGGGATGGTTGTTATTTTTTAATACATAAAGTGGTCTAGGAAAAAGAATTGATTGAAAAAGCAATAGGCTGTTTTCACTGAGCTAGGAAGAACAACTAACAGAGATATTATTAACTGGAAGATATGAGCAAGGAAACAAGGGAGCTTGAGGAAACCACCCAAGAGAAACTGTGATTTTGTAGCAATTAATCTCAAAATACTTTAATTAAAATTTTACCCCTGTCATACAGAACGTAAAATAAATTGAATGTAATACAATTCACGTGTCAGGGTGTGCTTTTTACTGTTGTGTCATTCTTTGCAAGCTCTGGATTACTTCATGTTACTTCAGTTTACACGTTGGACATAACTCAGGCCTACACCACTGTAGGCCAGGCTTTCAAAGGCTGCGGGCCTTGCCTACAGGAGGTATATTTAGATTTTCTCCCTAAGGAATTCTGCACTTTTGTTTGCCTGAATGCTGTATAATCTTGACTATAAGCACTAACAGGTTGGCTAGAGTGCAGCTAAAGAGAGGGTTTATATTCTTGCCAAATATTGATGTAGGCATCTGTGAAACTGTAACTATTTGTGCACCACCTTTGCAGTGACCAAGCATTAAAGTTATTTTCATCGTCAGTGGTGAGGTTGTGGGTGAGCGTACAGAATATAGAGTTTTACGTGCCAGCAAGAAGGGATCTTACTAATCATATTTTCATTATTGTAGACCATGCATTTCCAGCTCGCTCTATCTCTAAAAGTAACTACAGTGCTATTTCTACTGTAGTTAGATGTTCCTGTGCAAGAATAGGAGAATGTGTTTTTGTAATTTTATTTTTTACACCCTGATTCTCTTAAGTCAGGCAGTTGAGATGGTGACGGAAATAAATTGTTTGGGTTTTCTATTTAGCCCCAGTGATTTAATAAACATTAGTCATTATCAGAATTTTAATTCCTGGAATTTCATAGCTTTTATGAACTGGCAGGTTTGTATAAACTTCAGCTGCTCATCCAGTTTATACCCGGGGAACGTTAGCCTGGAGTCTGCATCAGTATTGTACATCAGTATGTCTTTTCCTGCTGTGTTATCACTAGCATTCAAGTAGCACCTACAAGCCCAACATTTCTGTCTCTCTCGATAATTAGTTTTACTTGGTTTCGAGAGCCCTGATTTGCAAGGCTCCAGGTAAGTCTAAAGCTCCTTCAGACCTGAGCTTGCAGCAGTTTGGTCCATTCAGTGTTTTAGGGATGAGCAAGTTGAAGACTCTTGCTTGTCTACCACCAGCTTTGTCTCTCTAGCCCATTATGGCAGGCCCCCCCTCCAAGCTTCCAGGAGGATCTGAGGTTTTGACCTCGTTCACTACAGCAGAACTCAGTCTCTGAGCTGCCAGAGCAGCTCTGTGCAATGGCCCACTGCTCATTTCTGTTGTTTGTGTTTGAAAATAGAGAGGGGGAAAAAAAAAAAAAGGTGCA